TTGTACCAATAAACAATTTTTAAAAAGAGAAGGACCAGATATGGATGGGAAGGGTAATATAGCCAAAAATCTCAAAAGCAATTGAAATATTTTTAAATACTTCACAGAAAAGGAAACTCTGCAAACTAAGCCACTCTTGCAAAAGTTCAAGTAAACTTGGATTCACATAATACAGAGACAGAAGAATATAGGACATCAGATCCCATAGGAAGTTAGTATAAGACAAGGATAATAAAGAATAGAATAACAACCTTAGGGACAATGAAAGTTTGTCAGAAAGATATACTCACAGAATAGATCATAGTAACTAAGGCACAATAAGAAAATGATGCAGACAGCAAAGAACAAAATGAATCAAAATTTGGAAAACTACAAAACAGGTCAACAGAATTCAGAAAGGACATAAAAATAAAACAAAAAATATGAACCCAAAAATGAAGACTGCATTAGAAGGAACAAAAATGTGAAACATACAGATGAGGCTTTAACAGAGACAGAACTGAGGAAAACATTTAAAGTCAAAAAGAAATAAGATAAAACAGACTGGAGAGAAGGGAACAATTACTAGACAAAGACAAAGAGGATTCAAAATATGAGTCCCTGAAGAAGAAATAAACCAAGGAATGAAAGGAAAACACACAGTAAAAACTGTAATTCAAAACAACTTTCCTCAAATTAAAAAAACAAAATAAAACAAAAATCCCAGTCTGGAAGGGCATACCAAAAAAGCACACCGTGTAATGAAGAATAGTGACTCAGAACAATCAGCACCAAACCATGTTCTGGTAAACTTATCAGACTCTAAATAGAGAACCAAAAACAGAGCACAGGCTTTAGGAATGTAGATAAAGAGAGACGGCACCATCAGATCATCATTTAAGTCTGACAGCTGTGCTTTATGTTAGAGTCAAGGAAAGACAATGGGAACAAGGAATACAGTTTCCACAAGCCCTTCCTGCAGCTCTCGCAGAAAACCTGCTTCTGACAACACAGTAACTAGACAGTGACTGAATAAAGCCATGGGGGTGAGCCATGGGCGTGCATTCTAATTCTCACTGTACTTAGACCCTCTCATAGAATGAGAGAAATGCAGATGTAATCTTGATGAGGGTAGAAAAACTTCTCTAGACATGACTTTGAACTGGAAATATTCACATGCACCAGTAAGGCACACCCCACTCTGTGGGCGCATTCCCAGGATTCAGATTGTGTGTGACTAAAGGACTGGGTGGATGTCACTAGCCCAGAATGTCTTGTACCCTCTGACCCTCTCCTGATTCTCCTGCATTGCAAAGCTCTAGCCAGTAACATACTCTCTGCAAGACAGCCTCCACTTCCCACAAGAGAAGTCCCTTTTCACACTGCCAGCTGGTCGGCCTCTGGGGATAGCACAGCATGGAGGAGGCCACTTCCTATCTTGGTTTCCCTTTCCTTGTCTCTCTCATGCATCATGTGCCCTGGAGGGAGCCAGTTGCCAGTCTCACAGATGCTAAGGTACCCTGGGGAGGGGCCCTGCCATGGGAGGACATGAGGGGCCAGCAGCTACATGAGTCCTCTGTGCAGAGCCTTCTTTTCCGTCAGAGCAGACCCCAGCTTTTGCTGCCACCTTGACCACCTTAATCTGAGACTACCCGGTAAACTGCTTCTGAATTCCTGACCCAACCCATACAAACTGTGAGATAATTAATGTTTATTGTTACAAGCAGCTAACTTTGGGAGACAACTGTCTACAACAATAGGTACCCAATATGGTACACACATACACACTCACATATGCATATACACACGACACATGCACAGGTACACACTCACACATGTATCTCACATATGACTCTTGATTTCTGAAATGCTATTTTTATACTCTACCTACAGCTATTTTCTAGAGTTTTCTACTTCGTTCTATCTAAAAAATAATGATAATAGTAGTCCACTAGAGTGATTTCACAACCACACATAATTATGGGCAGAATGCAAAAGGATGGAGCAGGGACAAATTATAATTTCCTCTACTTTGTCTGTTCTCATTTGACACTGCCATAGCCATGACCTTTTAGGCTCACCTTTAAAGCCAGGTTGGTTTTGTTTTTGGAGCCAGCAACTCTGTATACACCAGGTGCCAAATGAGTGCTGACTGTTCAATTCCTGTGCTTCATTAAGTTTGGCACCAGGAGTCATACGATATCATGTACCATTTCTCACTGTAATGATTCATAGACTGTTTTAGACATAGAAAATTTAGAATAACATGATGGAAAATCTCCATGTTCACATTCTAGCTAAAGAGCAAATGTTAGAAATATAAAGGCAGACCCTACTCTGTGGTGGGAAGTGTGTGTTCCCTTAACATTTGAACATTGAAAACTGCACCCCCCTACACACACGCTGTCGAAGAAGGAGGCCCTCTGGGAGGGTATGTGGTCACAAGGGCGCAGCCCTCTGGAATGAGACCAGCACTTTATAGAACAGCCCCAGAGAGACCCTCACTCATTCATCATGTGAGGACACTGCAGCAAGACAGCTGGCCATCTGTGAACCTGGAAATCGGCCCTCCCAGGACACTAAATTTTTGGCGCATTGGCTTCAAGTTTCTTAAACTTTGAAATTATGAGATTAAGTTTCTGTTGCATATGAGCCACCCACTCAGTGGTATGTTGTCACAGAAGCCCAGGTTGACAACGACACCCATTCCTCTCCCATAACCCCAAACCCTATCTCCCACTACAGGTGACCTCAGTGTGGGCCCCTTATTTACTACTTGCATTTCACCATCTTCCTAGGTATGTAAGTTTATTTTTACACTGGTCTCTATTTTATGCACATGGGACCATATTGCACACATCCTTTTGCAATTTTTTCTTTTGCTTAACAAATATTATAGTTAAACTGGGCGTGGTGGCACATGCTCATAATTCTAGCACTCGGGAGGCTGAGGCAGGAGGATTGTTGCAAGTTCGAGACCAGCCTAGGCTACAAATTGAGCTCAAGGCCAGCCCAAACTGCATAGCAAGACACCATCTCAAAAAGAAAAAAAAATAAACAAAAAACTATGGTTTTGAGATTTATCTGGTAACTCCAGTTCATTCATTTTAACTGTTGCCTGCTATTTCACTGTGTGGAATTAATCATAACTCATCTGTCTCTTCCTCCTGCTGGCAGTCATAGACGCTTTTCTACCGAAATTTGCAGTGAACATTCTTGTACATCTCTGATAGCGTGCTGTCTCTTGGATATATAGCTAGATGTTTAATTTTCTCAGGGAACAGGACCAAATATATAGACAGTCCGATAAACAGTTCCTACTAACACTGTCATTGCCTTCTCTTCATATCCCAGACTGCAGGTCTGGATTCGTTTCTGTTTGGTAAACAGAACCTTAAAGAGAGGGCAGGGAGTCAAGCTAAAAACAACAAAAGCCAAAACCCTGAAACATCTGCTTCTCTTTGAAGTAAAGATGAGAGGCGAGCCTGTGGACTAAGGGACACTAGTCGGTTTTATAGCTGTTGGAATGCCCAGACTCGCACTGCCAACAATTCTTCTCTGTACTCTGCCTATCAAAATCTGTGCGTGGGCCTACAGTACTTACCCATAAACCCATGAACAAAAGGTTAACCCTGCCTAGATCCATCTAAGCTGGGTCTAATAAGCTATTTCCACCACAGGCCAGAAAGTAAACTATTTAGGTTCTTTCCACTTTGTGGGCCTCACAGACTCAGTTATAAGTACCGATTTCTCCTTTCCTAACACAAAAGCAGCCAGACTCCATGCAAGACCTAAACAGCATGGCTGCGTTCCAATAAAACTTTATTTACAAGCTGGGCATGGTGATGCGTGCCTGTGATCTCAGCACTTGGAAGGCTGAGGCAAGAGGATCACTGTGAGTTTGTGGCTGGTCTGAGCTACAAAGTGAGTTCAAGGCCAGCTAAACTGCAGAATGAGTCCCTGTCTCCAAAAACAAACAAAAATTTTATTTACAAGATCAGATTGAGGGCCAAATTAGATCTATAGGCCATAGTTTACTGATCCCTGTTCTAAACAGAAGACAATTTAGCCTAGAAACAATTTAAACTTCATTTTATTTGGCCATTTTCTCCTTTTGGATTAACACCATTCTAAAAACTAGTCCTAGTAAGGGTGTGGGTAAACAAATACTTTTGTGTACCGCTGGCAGAAATATAGAAACTGGTGGATTCATTTTTTCCCCATTAACTGTAAACAGCCATGACCCTGCATGAGCAGTAAATCCCACTGGGTACCAAAGATATAGAAAATGTCTCTGCACACTGCTCTCAGTGCACTCAGACTGGTGAAAGAGGCAGGCACTTGCATATCTCCTGGCTGTTTGCAAAAGTGGAGAGATGGAAATGTCCCAGGTAGCTCTACTAAAACATCCATAGTGTTATGAATCCATCCAACCAGCAAGAGCAGCAATAACTAAAAATAAATAAGGTGCCTGCTACCTCCTGCTTGAGGGGTTAAGGACATTCTTAACCTCATGTAAGGACACGAGAGGTTTGGAGAACTGAATCCACATTGAGAGTTCACTTGACCAACCCAGTTCTAACACTTACTATGTTGGCAATCTGGAAAGAGTATTTTTCTTCCCTGATGTCACACCCTCCAGTTACAAAGAGATAGTCGCAGCACTTACCTGATAAAGACGATCATGAACATGCCATAAAACAGACCTAAAAGGCACTGCTTAAGCTTGGATCTTGAATGTTCCCCAAAGGGCAGGTTTTGAAGCTTGGCCCCCATCTGTGGCCCTACTAGAAACTTTGGGAGGTGGGGCCTAATGGGAAGAAGCTGGGTCACTGGGGGTGTGGCCTCAAGTGGCATATAGGGACACAGCCTTTCCTCTCTCCTTTTCCTTTTGGATCACCATGAGGTGAGGACTGTCCCCGAAGTCTTACTAATGCCTCGCCTCCCCAGGGCCATGTACTCAGCCCTTGTGGATACAGCAATAGGCCACCAACTCTACCACCTCCACTGTTGTCCCTTACCGCCAGGCACGCATTGGAAGCCGTCTCCTTGGTAGCCAGGTTTGCACTGGCACATGAAGGAGCCTGGAGTGTTGTAGCAGAAGGCATCAGGGTGACAGCGACTGAGCTGGCATTCGTCCACATCTGCAAAACAGACACAGGCCAGGGTCAGTGAGATTATTCCTAGAATTTGTGGTTTATGCAACAGTGTAATCCATTTACTCCTATCTATGAGAACCAGCTTTTTGGAACAGTGACTTTAAACTTACTAAACATTAATTTTCAAGACACTAAGTCCCGAACACCCACATAGAACAGAGGTGGTAAACCTATGACATGGGTGCCACAGCAGGCTGTGAAACTCTAAAAGGTTTGCTATCACTAATCTAGGACAATCACAAATGTGTTTCACTTTGGCAATAATGTCCCCATGAGAAATCAAGCTTGCAGAAAGGAAAAAGGAATTACGTAAATCATAAGGTGATCCCTTTCATCAAAAGCAAGAACTGCTGAAATGTCTGCATATTTGGAGGCAGGTCATTAACTGGTAGACAAAAAGCCCCAGAGACCAGCAACTCACTCACTAAACAATGAAGAGACAGTATCTCAAAGCATCTTAAAGAGTGTGAGCCTTTCAAGAACATTTCATGGTATATAGTCAAGCAATTTTGCCAACTAAAAGATTTGGGACAGTGCAAGTTATCTTACCTAAAATTTCTTCTGTGAACACTTGGCAACCACCAGTGGGGCTCCTCCCAGGTGTGAAAGGATTCTGTGTGGCATTTATTCACTGACTCTGGAGCCATTTACTCAATAAGGGAACTCTGGTTTGGTGGGAAGAAAGCTAGAGCAAGCCAGCCGAATGATTGTGTGTATCTTGCTAAATAAAAGGATAGACTTTATGATGTATGTGTGCAGGGACTGTGCTTTTTTGTGAAACATTAACAATGTCTTCAGCTCCCAGCAGAGAGCAGGTGTCTAACTGTTGCTTGAACAAGCAGACCAATAGAATGAACCAGTGTGGAGTGGACAAGTATCATCACCAAGACCAGCCCCAAAAGAAATTACAGTTTCTGTGTAAGAAGCAGTTCATTTCTCCAATAGTGCCAGGACCATAATTCTTTCTTATATTTGGGGGCTGGGGATGTGGGGTGGCTGGGAACTGGTCATGGTAGGTATCCCCGAGGAGAACTTTCCAAGTAACACAGGGAAAATCCAAGAGTGACCACATACCTTGGCAGGCTCGGCCGTCCCCAGAAAAGCCTGGCAGACAGGAGCAAGTGTAGGAGGAGCCTCCCGTGTAGATGCAGGTGGCCCGCTGGGGGATGTCACAGTCATGGAGGCCAGTGGCACAGTAGTCAATGGGGCGCTGCTCCACGATAGCTTTGGAACAAAAGGTTAAGGCCGACAGTTGGAAGAAGATCCCTAGACAGGCTGTGCCCAGCCCAGCTCCCACCATTCCATCAGTTCCACCAAGTGGGCTTGATGAGGGGCCTCCAGGGTGCTCCTCTGCTCCCCGGTAGGTTTACATCTTGTTTCTTCCCCTGGATTAGGCCTCCCACGCCTTGGTGGGTCATTCCAATCATTCAAGCTGCCTTTACCCTCAGTTGCCCCCAGGCTCTGGCTCTTACCACCCAAGAGCCCAGCAAAGGACCCATGAGCCCAGTGAAGCTCCCAAGAGCCTGCTTTTCTGGAGGTGGAGTCTGGACATATGCAGATGTTACTAAATGTTACCTAAATGGTGCTTTCCACAGCCTGGCTCAGGCAGCTTTTGGAGCCAAAAATCTGAAACCACATAGTGTTTGTGACTTTGGCCCACTCTGGACAGATAATACCTTCCAATGCCAAAATCAATGTCACTTACTTCTCACCAAGGTAAGAGAAGCTTCTTCAAGGATATGAGGTAAATATGGCATAGGACTGAGGACATTTGGGGTATGTGGCTCTGGCTTTGTACCAGTTCTGTATGGGCTAAGCACATGGACTTGGATTCACTGTTTATTGCATAGAGCCTTGGATTCTGCGTCTGCACACCAGGAATGATGACTTCTGGTGTCAGGGAATACAGCAAAGGGAGCCATAGCCCCGATGACAGGCACAGGAAAAGTGATTGAGGAAGCCCATGAGAGACATGGGCTGGTGATGGGGCCTCCTGATGCCGCAGCCAGCCATGACAGAGATCAGAGTGGTTCCCGATGGCTGATTCTGTTACTCTGGGTTTTCATTGCACCATTTTCCTTCTGGCTTTTTGGAAGCACTAAGACTCAGGACGGTTTACCCCATGGTGTGCCAAAACGCAACTCTTTTTTCCTTCCCAAGACAACCTTGGATCTGGATTATTGTATGGACAGGACTCATCTCTAATTGATGAATCCTCCTAAGACCGATTTTGATTTATCCCGCCTTAAAGTAGAGAGGAGAAGGAAAGCGAGGGGCAAAAACGAAGAGAAGGAGTCTGGCAGGTAAAAAGGAGACACTTCAAAGGTCTGTGCGGAGTGACAGGCAGCCAAGGATTGGGGATAGAAGCTGGTCTGTGCCCTTAGCAGCTTAGACTCCTGAAGCCCATGGTGCTCACCACCTCCCCCGGACACGCAGCATCAAACCAAACTGACAGATCACAAGGAGGCCAGAGTTCACAGTGCCGCCAGCAGTACCAAACACCCGTCTGAAAACAGTAACCCAGAATCTACCTAAGCTGCCGGGGCACAGCCCTGTTTCCCTGGGCTCCTCCTCTTCTCTCCCTTCCCAAATTCAAATGTTCCCTTCTTTAAAAAAAGAAAGAAAGAGAAGAAAAAGAAAAAAAAGAAAAAAAAAAAAAAGAAAGATTCCCTTCTACCAAGGCCTCCTTCCTCCCAGCTCCCTTAACTACCATAATGTGACAGCGGAGGCTTCAAGAATTAAAACCAAAAGAAGGCAGGGAAAATAAATTCCCACCATAGCCACGACAATCAGGAGATGACTCCCACTCCGCTTTCCGCTCTTTCTTCCACCAAACATTTATGCAGCTTTTCAGCTCCTCAGGAGCCACTAGACCTTCACACCTGCGTGCAGCTCTAACTACTGCTGCTTGTCTTCATTTTCACACGTGTATTTCTAAAAGCTTCAAATCCGTGACAAGAAAGAGCAGTCCATAGTGTAATTTTTTAAGCCGGATCTTTCTTTATGTAAGACAGTTTCTCATGCCCAATGACTTCCATTCTTACCAAAGCTTTCAAAATTAACTTTACAGCCCTGAACAGTATAGCTGCATGGTTCTCATTTCTAAGTAAATAAAGCATTCTAAGCTAATGTCTGCATATCAGTTAGTGAAAAGTGGCCCTAAGGGGCCTCTGTGGCTGCAGGACCCGCCCGTTCTCACGGGAACACAGCATCCAGACGGCCTTGCTAACTTTATTGCTACAGAGAGGAGCCCCTGGAGCCTGGGAGGGTCAGTGACCAACACCACAGAGGAGAAACTGCTGCTCCAACTGCCGAGAATGTGGGCTGATATGCGTGCGAGAGGGGACACCAATACTTCCAGACTCAATTTCCCCAGGACTGCGCCAGGCAGAAAGGTGGCTTTCCTGCCTTTTCAGTCATAGGGAGAATGCAGGGGTGAATGTGGGCAAATTTTTGGAAAGGAAAGAAAATTTGAGCTCAAAATGGGAATCCAGAGACTGTTAAGTCAATGTTTCACTTTTCTGGTGCATTTGTTTCTGAAGAAAACTCAGGAAAAGGACTGTACCCTGACCTGGAACAGTGATATGGTCCCTGGGAGACACATGCAGGCAGGCCGGGGCTGAGAAGTGAGGCACAGAGGATCCAGCAAGAGATACAACAGGAAGAGGGACAAACAGAGCAAAAGAAGCCATTTACAGGAGGAGCAAAAGGCAGGTCACTCAGGTCCCAGGAGAGTAAGTCACAAGACTTTGGATACTATAAATTCTAAAACAAAATACAATGAATCCTTCGTACAGTTTCCCTAACAATACAACTGGCAAAGGGCTTTGTGCTCAGCAGCCTTTTCACTAAGCCTGGCTTTGCTGTTGCTTTGGCTTTTTTTTGTCGTTTGTTTGTTTTGTGGTTTGCTCTTTTGGGGAGGGGGGGGTACCCGGAATTGAACTCACAACCTCCACTTGCCAAGCTTGTGCCACTAAGCTAATTCCCCAGCCCTTCTGCCGTTGCTTTGTTAGAAGAGCCAGGGCACCCTGCCCAATACACCAGGCCAAGTGCCACAGGCCAGTGTCCACTGAGAGGACATTGGTGTCAGAAGACATCAGCAAGGTGACTTATGAGCAAGCTGAGGCACACCTTTCCTTCACCAAAGCAGCTTTCACATGTGTCAATGAACTGTAAAAGTCTGCATCTAGAGGAGAAGAGGAAGTCACAGGTGTCCTGCCTGCCTGGGCCCCAGCCCTCTGCAGAGTGGGACAAACCAGGCTCCTCACTGCTTGGCTTCTTTTTCATGTTCCCTGCTCTGGCCTAGACAGCAATTCCCAGCCCAGGCTTTCAAACTAGGATACTGTTTGGAGAGGGAATTTCAAGATACAACTGGAGCTGATGAAAGGGGCAGAGATCTGAGCAGGAGGGAACTTCTTGGGGGGACTGGCAGTAAAAAACAAAGATCATGTAAGGCCAGTCCTGCCAGAACCCAGTGACCACCTCCTCTCCAATGGTTTTTACTCTTATTTTTGAACAATGGAATCCACTATTCAAAAATCTTGCTTAAAATTTGATTTACAGAAAAATGGGAGGCTGGGGGTCAGAGGAGCGGACATCAGCCTGCCCATGACCTCTCTGTCTTTATAGGCAGCTTCGAGGCACTTCAAGGGTTCTACGAGACACAGGATGCCAATGATCTCATCTGAATACCTCATTTTACAGATGAGGAACTGAGGCCTAGGAGCTTAACTGTCTCCCTCTGAATCAAATACCCAGGAGCAGCTATTTTTTGCACAGCACTAGCTCCATACTTTGTCCTGCCCCTTCAGTGTATGTGGCCATCAGGAGTGGTCAGACCCAGAAACTCAGGTCACCACACCTCCCACATGCATGTCCAAATCGGTTACAGCGACTCTGCAGACCACCACCCAAGGGCCACAAAATCCGCCATCCATGCTTGAGCCAACACAAGGTAGAAATGGCATTGCCATTAAAAACAAACTCTGGAATCTCCTGCACCTCCAAAACCAGAGGAGGATTTCAGGCCAAATACAGAGAAACTGAAGTTCTCTACTCAGAGGAAAAATAAGTAACTTTAGCAGAGTGAGAGGAAATCTCAAATCTGCAGAGGGAAGTGACCTCCTGAGCTCCCAGATGTTTGGGCTGCACTCAAAACATGAGAACTGCCTGTTCTTCCACCCTGAGGACACTGCTTCAGCCTGGAACTTTCTGGTGCCTTGTCTGAGCAAAGGGAACATATTCAAGGCTTAGCAAATAGCCAGGAAGGCGAAAAGAACACTGGCTAAAACAGCACATAGGATGCTGCTTGAACCAGACACACACGGTGAGCTCAGATGGCTTTCAGCTGACTTCTTTCCAGGCCTGGAAGTCTCCAAGAATCTTGGAACATGAAATTCTTGGACCCTGTGTCCACGCACAGCAGTAGAAGGAAAGATAAAATTAACAACCTGGCTCTTTGTGGTTGGCCCCTAATCATCATCACCAAAAGAATCAACTAAGAGCAGCATTAGCCTAAATAAATTAATACGGCAGTATTAACTTACTTCAGTAAAACTAAGAAATTATGCTGTGATTTAGAGTGGCTCCGAAAGGAATTTTAGATGTAATTTAGGTAGAATTCAGTCTAAAATAGCTAATAGCATAAAAGACCCCTGGAAGGAAGCCCTTCAGTAGCATTCTCAGCTTTACAGTCATAGTGAAAATGGTTAGACATTTATAAGCAGTGCTGGGTATGGTGGCACATGTCTGTAATTCCAGTCACTCTGGGAGGCTGAGGCAAGATTTCAAGTTTGAATCCGAATTGGAGAACTTAGGGACTTAGTAAGGACTTGTCTTCAAACATAAAACTTTTGGCCAGGGATTTAGCTCAGCAGCATAAGCACCTGCCTGGCAAGCATGAGGTTGTGAAATCGATCCCTGTTACCAATGGGCTGGGGAGGTAGCTTAACACAAAGGTTCTGGGTTCAATCCAATGTCACACACACAAGCACACACAAATACTTATAGAAGCAAATGCAAGACAAAATTTACAGCAAATGAGGCGATGATGCTGCCAGCATAGACAAGAACATAGCTCATTCCTTGCAGCTCTGACTCACCAGGTAGGTGAGAGGGGCAGGGTAGATCCCATTTGCCTCCACAGACTGCCCTTCCCAAGGGCAGACCCCAGCTCCTTCTTTTTGGTCAGCATTACTACTCTGCAGAGCCAGCACACAGCATGAACACCTTTTGAAGCATCAGCCTGAGAACTTACCCACGCATTTGCCTTGGTCTGAGAAGCGGTAGCCCTCGGAGCACTCACAGCGGAAGGTGCCTGGCAGGTTGTTGCAGATCGCTTGGCTGCCGCACACGGAGGGCTGCTCTGAGCACTCGTCGATATCTGCAGGAAATTGTGTGAGAATGCACATTCTTTTCAAACCTCTTCCAGGATCACCAAGCGATAATAAAATAGACAGCACTTTCTCTGAGAATGGATCTATGTTAACTTAACATATATTTTTCTCTATCCCTGAAATAATGTGAAATAAAACATTTCTTTTTTTCTGTGTATAACTTTAGAAAGTAACTCCCCAGGCCCTTTCACTAAGGAAGGGTGAGCTTCTCTCAATAAGCCCCTGACATCAATGAGAAATAACACATCTGAAGGATACAGAGACAAGTCTGGTCTCTGGATGAAGGCCCTAAATTTGACAGGATATTTAAATACACTGCTGCTCAAACTTTTGCAAGGCATGGTGGGGCAGGCCTGTAATTCCAGCCCTCTGGGAGATAAAGACAGGCAGATAGCAAGTTCAAGCCCAGCCTGTGCTATTTAAGGACTTAGAAAGACCTTGCCACAAAATAAAAAATGTTTTAAGAGCGAGAGCTTTGAGTTCAATCACAGCACCCACACAGAACAAAACAAAAAATAACCTTTCTCCAATTATAATTACATATGAAGGCTGGACAATTCAAAGCCTAATTGTGGATTTCTGAATGTTGTTTAAAGTTTACCAGACCGAAACAAAAGTGATTAACTCCTAACACGTTGAATGAAGGCCTGGAGTGATGGCCTGTCATATGGCAACACTACAGCCATGACTATGGAGTCATGTAGATTTTCAGATGTGCTTTGGATCACGTTCAAGCTAGCTTCCTTTAGTTATTAAGTGGTGTGGTCTCAGGCAAGTGACCTAACTATTCAGCCTGAGTCTCCCCATAGGTAAACAAGCATAGTAACACTCATCCTGAGGATTCTAGAAAATGAAGGCCTAGCACGCTCAACATGTAGATATTCTTGTAATTATTAGGCATTTCTCCTAAATCCTCCTCCGTAATGATAAGCATGGTTGAGAACACAGCCCTCAGAAAACCACCAGGCTTTGGGAGCCAGTCTGTGGCTACCAATAGCGGAGAAACGGAGCTAACCTCTCCTTAACCTGGTTCCTGTCCACTGATGGGTTGCAGTGAAAGTGAGGTCCTCCCTCACACTCAGCATGTACACAGCTCCTCCCAAGAGGTGTGTGCAGATTTCACGTCAGCTGAGACCATTCAGCTGCCCCTTCAACCCCTCTCCCCAGCACTCTAAGGTGACTTTCACACTCTGCAGTCTCCAGGGTCCTCTCTGATGGCCAGCCTGGTCAGGCCCTTCATTGCTGAGACAATGGTCTCTCCGGCTTCTTGGACAACACAGCACAAGGCAGTAAACATCCTTGCCACATCAGCCCACAGTTTGTTCTCTGCCCAGCCAAAAGCCCAAACTAAATGTTATTCAATCTTTTGAAGATATACTGATGTGTACACACATATACATGTGAGCATGATGTGTTTATGACACAGGATCTCAAACACAGGACTGTGCCTGGCCCGTGTGAGGGTTCTATGAGCTGCGCCAGGCTGAGGATGAGGACCACGCAGCAAGTGAGCGCCTCCCAGTGCCACGTGCCAGTGGCTGCTCCCCCGACAGGAAGAAACATCATGCTGTGCCCGCTGCCCTTGTCCTTCTCCTCTTGGAGGATTCTCCCACAGATGGCCAGACGCGGAGTGTAGGGCTGCAGGCCAGGCACTCAGACCCAAAAGCCAGAGAACAGAGCAGCAGTTTTCAATCAAGAGGACACAGCAAAATCACCAAGGGAAGTTTTCCAATCTTCCCCCTCCCAAGAACACTTACGCAGACGGAAGCTATATTTTTTGAAAAAGATTCTGGAGCATCAGGCTCTTCCCCACACCTGCAGTTCCTCCAGAACCACAAACAGGATCTCAGGAGGGTGGGACGATCCCCAGGCAAGGCCCCCAGTACCATGCAGGTTTATACATATGCGGTCAGGCTGGTGACATCCAGGTCTTACTAGAAAGTCCCTAACAGTTTCCCTGCTAATATCTTGTGGTTCTTGCAGTTTGGGAATTTCTCCTTGTGTGTTATTTAAAATTCTTCCATAAATTGAGGCCAAGGCCTTAACTCCTTCTTTAATGGAAATAGTGCCCTGGTAACTATAACAACGGTCTCTTACAGCATTCCACAGTATCCGCTTAAAGATCATGATTCTTATTACTCAACATCTGTCTGGCCTCTCAGGAAGGATCTTCCTTTTGCAAAATCATTCTCTAGTCCAACAGGAAATGCTATTGAACAGGATTCAATAGAAAGATTTTTTTTTTTTTTTTTTTGAGACAGGGCCTTGCTATGTAGCCCAGGCTGGCCTTGAACCCATGGCAATCCTCCTGCTTCAGCCTCTGAGTGCTGGAGTTAGACATGTGGGTCACCACGCTCAACAATTATCTTTTTGAAGTCTTTTCAAAGTGGCTACTTTTCACAAATTTTCAACAGCTCTGTTTCTTTAATATGTCCCTTTTATAAAGGCCAGATTCTTTGAAGAATCTCACTGATTTGTGAATCGCCCTCCAAAGACCCCAAAATTATTCAGTGAGGGTTAACTGAAACTGTCTCTACAGATTCCACATTTCGGATATACAGCCACCACTATGCCACACACTCCCAGTGACCAGAGCTCCACAGTCCCACTGGAATTCTCCAACCTCCCTAGAAGGCCCATTGTGAGATGTCTGGCCCAAACGAGCCCTGCTGTGGAAGTCACACATCATTATGTCAACAGTGCACACACTGAATCACAGAAGTTCACCCTCACTCTCCTCAAAGGCCCTGCCTGAATCAAAACCACATGAGAAGTGATCTGCTTAATGCAATTTCCTATCAAAAGCCCAAGTCCTGAGGCATAAATGCTGGGAGGAGTGTTCTAGTGACCTACAACAATAAGTAGCCCGACAGGAATATCCCCACATTCCGCAGAGCTAACACCCCAGAATAATGGCTGACCACCAAACAAAACCCAGTGTACACATGACCACTTGCATGCCTGCCTGGTAGGGATAGCCAAAGGTTTCCTGAGACACAGCAGATTGCATAAGGCAGGACTGGCCTTCTGAAGGGACGCGCTCCCTCTGTGACAAGCTGAGGCACCAAGGTGGCATCAAGAGAAAGGCTGTAGGACAACAGCAGCAGGTGGCGTTGCTTGCAAGTATGAAGTACAGATGCACACATTAGGGAAGTACAGAGAGATGAGGGCAAGTGTCATCTGCATCTTTAACTGCTTCCGGACCATCATCTCCACAGACTAGAAGGGACACACACACACACACACAGCATCAGGCTGCTTGGAACTTGGAATAGAGCAGCTATTTAAGACTGTCATACACCTTACTGGGCAACTGACAATCACCCAGTGAAGCAGTGTTATATCCCCAATGCAGTGTTGTGTTACCAGGAAGGTGAGTCTCAGACTGAATTTTATTTCGTGTCCAAATGTATCAGCAAGCTTCCAAACAGTCACATAACTGCTTCTGTGAGCCCAAGACCCTGCTCTCCAACATTTCAGGTTTCCTGATGAGCACCCTGCATGGAATTGACACTGGGAGACAAATCCCGCAACACACTGCACCAGGATCTGCCACAACAGTACCCCAAATCCATCATCGGTCAGCAAAAAGAATTCCAAGGCTTCTGGGCTTCCAGACTTGTATTCTCTGGTCAAGCAAGGGTGGTGGCAATTGCCCACCTTGCTATACCTGAATACATTCTTCATTCCCCCAGGAATGCAGCCTTTAGATCCCTCTTCCTCATTAGGGAGCCCTCTGGTGCAAATCTAAGCAACAGTTTGACATTCCTGCTTTTGGTAAATGGACTAACTTCTCCTTGGAAGTGCACTAAAATTTACTGACATATAAATACCAGGTGATTTATATTAAAGTTGAATTATAAATAATAAAATAAACACAAGGAGGAAGAGAAATACAGATGTTTAGGATAGAAGCTCAAGTTCAAATATTCTGTCACTGGCTCACTTCCATTAGTCAGGCTGGTTGCTACGAAAACAAAATGAAAACAGAAGACAGCAAGTGCCATCAAGGCCGCAGAGGACTGGAGCCTTTGCGCACTACAGGTGACAATGTAACATGGCACATCCACTAGAGAACACAATGTACAAAGTCCTCAAGAATTCAACACAGAAGTGCAGTATGATCCAGCAATCTCACGCTATGGGACACAACCAAAAGAATTGAATACATTCGCGGGGCTTTCAAGGGGATTTGTGCACCTATGTGCATAGCAGTATTATTTCCAAGAACCAAAAGGTGTCCGTCCATCAATACAATGTGGTGAAATATTATTCAACCTTAAAAGTATTCTGACATATGCTACTGTGTGGATGAACCTTGAGGACAATGTAGTAAGTGTAATAAGCCAGAACAAAATTCCACTGACATGAGGCTTCAAATATAGACAGAAAATAAAAGTGAGATAAGTGGTTGGGTGAGGAGAATGTGGAGCACCTGTTTAAAAAAGAGTCCACTATGCAAGATGAAGAGTTCTAGAGAAGGATGGTGGGGATGGCTGTACAACAATGTGAATGTACTTTGTATCACTGAACTGCACATTAAAAATAGTTACAATGATAAATTTCACCAGGTGTGGTAGCACACACTGTTAATTCCAGCACTCTGGGAGCCTAAAGAATGCAAACTCCAGCCCTGCCTGGGCAATTTAGTAATTTAGTTAGACCCTGTCTCAAAATAAAAAACTTTTAAAAGGAGCTTGGGGAATGGGGATGTAGCTCAATGCAAAGGTCTTTGGCTTAATACAATCCTCCTGCCTCAGCCTCCCAAGTGCTGGGATTTACAGGCATGCACCACCATGACAGCTTTTTATTTTATCACAGTTAAACATAACTTTAAAAAAACATGTAAAAGAGTCTCTCGTTCCATGTTACAGAATTGAAATAAAATGGTATTTGTGAATTCCTTAACACAGAGCCTGAATAAATTACATAATCACAACTATAAGGTATATTCCAGCTGCGCTTATATTCCTAGAGTTAGCAGCAACGGTGGCTTTTGTTTCCCTTCAAATCTGGAGCACAGCATGGAATTTGGCCCCGCTCTTGGGAGTTAGGCCCCCAAATCCTACAAAGGAGCAGTACTCCTAAACTCACCCAGGGCACAGCAGGTGCATGAGCAGTTCAGGCTCTCCCACCCCCAGTTCGACTACATGAGCGTCTTCCCAGTGAACTGCCCCAAGCCCCCACCTCCCACACACAACCCACAGGATGTACCGTAGCAGGTCCGCCCATCTCCACGGAAGCCAATGGAGCACTCGCAGGTGAATGTTGTCCCTTGGCCAGGGCGACAGGCTGCATTGGTGTCACAGCCGTGAGTGCCGATGTAGCAAGGATTCTGAAGGGCATCGGGGGAGCCCTCTGTGAAGGAAGAGAGGCGGGAAGAAATCAGTGTCCAACAACTCCTGCAGGCCCCCTCCTTTCCACTGAAGCAAGCCACAGGAGACAGAGAGGAATAGCGGAGCTAGCCCGGCACCTCTCGTGTCACCTGGGGGTGGGACCAGTGAATCAGGCCTCTCTTCCCCACTTCCTGTATCAGTAAAAATGTTTTATCGGCACCAGTCATACTTGTTCGCTTCCATGTGGCCTCTGGCTGCTTCTGTGTGACCATGGCAGAATGAGATGAAGATGGCTGGCAAAGGCTACAGTATCTACCACCTGGTCCTTTTAGGAAAGAAAAGCTGATCACTGATCTCTGGAGCCACAGCTGTCAAAGGGGAGAACCACGCCTCCCCTCCCCCTGCCTGGGAACTAAAGTGAGGATGCACTGGCCAGCTGGGGGAGTAACATGGGTAAGGAAGAAAAGTCAAAACAACTGAAAAAAGACCTAAATTATAAGGACCCCAGGCATTCAGATGGGGACAATGGGAAGTCAGATGGTGACGTATCACAAAAGTTCGATGTTACGGCTTATGTCTAGATGATCCCCCCCAAAACTTCATGCAGTCATGGGATGGGGGGCTTTTCAGAGGGGACTGGATCTAGAGTATATGGTATTGAGAGCAAGAGTGTATGATTACTAAATCAGTCTACTGAAGGCTTTGGCATGGTTCTGGCTAGAAATTAAGACTATGAGTGCTACACCCACCCTAGGGAAGGTACACCCTAGGGAAGGTAGGCTACATAAAACATAAGGGACAGAAAGAGGGTTAACATGCCCTCACTTGCCTGCTGGCTGTGGACTATTTCTGCTCTATGATGAGCCTCTGCATTACGCCCTGCCTTGGAGTTAGCTGATTATGGACTGAAACTTCTGCAAACTATGAGCTAAACAAACCTTTTCTCCTTTACCTTTAGGTGCTTGGCATTTTGTCTCAGCAATAAGAAAAAGTACCTGAGACACCCTAGTGTTGTGCAGTCCCCAGGGTAAGAGTTTGTCTTCGTGCCTGATTTTATTTAGATTTCTTAAGCCCAAAGTACACAATTACTTTCAAAATGGGAGCATTAAGAGTTTTTTTAAAAGTTCTTCCTTGAAAGAATAAAGAAAGTGTGCTCTATACACACAATAGAATATTGCATAGACTTTTAAAAAGAATGAAATCGTGTCATTTGTGACAACATGAATGATTCTGGAGGAGGTTAACTGAAATCTGGCACAAACAGATAAATACCCTATAATCTCACTTAAATGTGGGAGCTAATAAAGCTGATATCTAATAAAGGGGCAGAGCTAATAAAGCTGATCTCTCTGATAAAGGGGCAGAGAACTGAGAGTGTGGTTAATGGTTACAGAGAGAGGGTGGGAGCTGGACAGGAGAAATGACCTCTAACATTGTATTGCGCAGTGGGTTAATTCTGTTTGGCAACAATTGCATGTGTAAAAACAGTAGAGAGGATTTTGAATGCTTTCCTCACAAATGATAAGTGTTTGAGGGATAAATATACCAATTATTCTAATCTAATCATATACGGTATACGTGTTAAAATTAATTACACTGCAACCCATAAATATATGCAATTATTAATGCATTAATTAAAAATAAGTTTTGAGAAAAGGTCTGCCAAAGCCAGCAGCATCCTTTGGTTGATCGTCTGTGTAAGGTAACTCATGAGGTTAGTATTCTTCTCTTCCCCTAGATAGGATATAATCAGCCCTTCGGTTAGAATATATGCAGGTAGGATTTCCAAGAATCACAGGTGGAAAGATATTTTTTTCTTAGCCAATATTTTAGCACAATTTTCTCCTATAGATAGAAAGAGACCAAAAACCTAATTTAAAGAGCAGGGTTTCAATGAGTGAGTCCAGAGAGCTTGTCCCTCACCCCTCACGGGTCCAATGGAGTTGCTGAGGGCGTAGCGCAGGATCCTCTCCTCCTGGTTGTACAGGACAAACACGCTGTCCACCGAGAGCTGCTGTGTGCTGGGCAGGGCCTGTCGCGCTGTGTCATGCACACACTCTTCAAAGGTGATGGTCTGGCGCCACTGGTAAACGTAGGTGTGTGACGGTGCCGCACCAGCTGGCTCAGGCTCAGTCACCGTGTACTCCCGGGTGGAGGAGGACATGATCACTGGGGTGCAGCAGGGCAGGAAGGGACAAGGCAAGAGACAAGAGAGATCTTTAGACGCACTCATGCTTTGGAGCCATCAGTGGCATTCCCTGCCCACAATGCAAGAGATGACAGCGGTATAGGACAGTTTAACAGAGTGGATCAGGTTTGAGAGTTGTGCAGCTTCCTACACTTCTCACACCTTCATTAGTGGTATTTACACTTTTTTAACCCCTTGCACCAAAGATGGAGTGCTTGTTGGCAGTAGATGCTCTATTGGTTAAAATAACACACACATTTGGGATTATCATTTCATAATTTAGTTCACAGTCATGTTAGATAAAAAGGTTAACATGCAGAGGAAAAACAATATTCTGCTTACTTCTTCATGGGTTTACCAAACACAATTATGAAGATTAAGCCCTCATTCCACTTACTATGATTTGCCCTTGGACATCAAATGAACATACATACCACGTATTGTTTCAGATAACGAATATTCTTTATGGTTATTACTGTGCTCTAAAATTACTCAGATCAAGCTGGGTGTGGTGGCGAACACCTATAATCTAGCACTTGGGAGGCTGAGTGAGAAGGATTGCTTCGAGCTCAAGAGCAACCTAGTCTGCAAAGTGATTTCAAGGCCATCCTGAATTGTAAAGTGAAACCTTGACTCTAAAAGACCAAACAATAAATAAACAAATGAAATTACTCATATTAATAAAGACAACTTCAACAACTGAAAAAGACTGTAGAATGCCTATAGAAAATCCTAAAGAACCTGCATTATTAACATCTCTTGTTTTTTATATCAAATAGTTCCCTGGAATTTCCTAGACTCCTAGCACTACAGATCAAGGTCTGGTGGAATGAGTGTATTTTTGGAAAGAGATAAAACCAAATTCATTCCTCACACTACTTGCAAGCTGTGTGTGTGACCACACAGCTGTCACTAGCAGTGTTAGCTTCAGTTTCTTTCTTAGAACAGGAGTGATGGGTGGATGAGGACATATATATAAAAGGTGCAGAATCAAGCAGACTGATCTCCTAGCCAGGGCAACTACCATTTACTGAGAAGTTAATGCCTTCTGTAAGTTACTTTACTTAGAGTTAATAAATTGCGGTTAGTCCAAATCACCCCAGGGCAAGCAGTTCTGTAACATTAAGAAATGGAATAAATGGGTTTTAGCAGTCAATTTTGGAAAAGTTATCATGAGTAAACCTCAGCAGAGGGACACAGTCTTCCCCACTCAGACTACAGCCGCTATTTGCGCATGTGACAAAAATTTTCAACTTCCTATTAAAAAAAAAAAGGATATAAAAGACTCTTTATATTTTTCCATTCTACTGCAGTTGGCTCCCTATTAGAAGCATAAAAGCCAGAGGATAAATAAAAGATCAGTGTAAGATGCTTCTGTCCAGCTCCCACGTGCTGGCTTCAGAGAGCCTACCTGCTCCCGGCACTGGCTCCCTCCTGCACCAATATGCAAAGCCCTAGGCATCTGCACAACCTTTCTGGACAGTTCTTAGGTTGATACAGTGACACACCAGTAATTCCAGCAAGTGTGTCACCTGTAATCCTGGCAGGCTGTGGCAGGAGAATTACAAGTTCGAGGCCACAGTGGGTAACTCAGTCAAAGCCTTGTCTTAAAGAATAAAATACAGGTTGAGGACACAGCTCTGTATGGAGGCCAAGTTTAATACCCAGTACCCAAAAAATAAGTTCTATTATTTGACTCAGTGCCTCTGTTTCTAGAAACTGTCTCTGAAAAGAATCAATTTGATCAAGAAAGATGGTCATTTAAATTCAGAACGAGTAGGGAAAAGTGAAAACAGGAAAGAGGAGAATAATTTAAATTAACAGCCATCCAACAGAATTAGCCAGTTCCTTTAAAATGTCTGGGGCCAGGGGGCAGTGATATAGCTCAGCAGCACATCACCTGCTCGGCAAGGGTGAGGTCTCGAGTTCAATTCCCAGTACCCATCCCACCCAAAATGTCTTCAGGCCAGGCATGGTGACACACACCTGTAATCCTAGAACTAGGGTGGCTGAGGCAGGAAAGTTCAAGACCAGCCTGGGCTACAAAATGAGTTCAAGGGCAGCCTGAACTGCATAGCAAAACCCTGGCTTAAAAAAACAAAACAGAAGTCTTCAAAGGTTACTTGGTTAACTGTTAAATACTTACGATTTTTTGTCTTTTTCCTTTTTATTGGTACCAGGGATCGAACTCACGGATGCCTGCTTGCAAGGCAGATGCTTATGCCGCTGAGCTAAATCCCCAGCCCCAATACTTATGATTTTTAATGACACATAACTGCGATGTCACTGAAACAAAATGCCTCACTGCAGATTATATAATCATACTGTATCAATGTCAAATTTCTTGATTTTGATACTTACAATGTGGCTTTGTAGGAGAATGTCCTTGTCAGGAAAAGCACAAGAAGCATTTAGAGCATTAATTCTCATGATACATACACTTACTCTGAAATGGTCAGAAAGGTGTGTGTGTGTGTGTGTGTGTGTGCGCGTGTGTGCATGCCATACGTACATGTGGCAAAATGTTAACAATTGGTAAATCATATATAGAAACTGCTCTATTTTCAATTTTCCTTTAAGTTGAAATCAGCTACCAGATGGAGAGTAAATGCAGTGATAAGAACTACAAATAGATGTATGTTTCAAAACTATTTTATCTTAAATTATACGACAAGTTGGGAAATTTAAGCTGAATAAAGATAGGTGAGGGAGATTAGTAAGTACAGAATGAAATTAAGTAATTGTCTCCAGATTTTACAATTCCGTTATGCTTACTTTCTGCCTTACACTAAATTCTCTAAAAGTGTGCCCTGCACGGAAGGTCCAGTGTTTTTCCCTCTTTAAGCCCTGGAGATGGCCTCAGGTCCAGCAGACCACTGGGGTGTGGAGTGTGAGGGGTATGGCGATGTCCCCGGGGGTGACTCACCCGAGCCGGAGTAGTGGTAGAGCTCTGTATAGGGCTCGATGGTCACAGAGGAACCGGCCGGGATCTGTGGCACGCGGCCCTCCAGCTCCGTGTCAATAGTCAGGTGTCCGTGCTCGTCGATGCCACTGAACTGCTGCCTGATGACCAGCTTGCCCGGGTGCCCCACAAAGGTCACCTCGGCCTGGCGCGTGAACTCACCCCCTGCAAAAAAAGCAAGATGAGCCTGTCAGTTATCTGCTGTCTGGCTGGCAAACCCTCCCGCCTTGCCTGTGCTCACAGTGCCAACGTATGACTGATAGAACGTGGAGCTAGTGACACTGAGGACAAAGCCCAGGCAGCCAAGTGGCCCAAGTACAGAAGAGAGAAGCTGCTTCCAGGAGATGTGTGGCTCAGGAGTTGTGCCAGAAAAAAGGGGCCTTGGGTCTGACTGTATTCCAGTGGTGGTAAGCCTATGACACAGGTACCACAGTGGGCTGTTTGTATCATTGAAAGCTCTAAAATCTCTCTGCTGTGTTAAGAACTGGCTGGGTGAACTTAAGTAAGTTGCTTAACCTCTCTAAGTTTCTATTTCCTGATGATATAAAAAGAGATGCAATCTACCTTGTGAAAGTAACAGGAGATAAGTGTTCCACAAAATTGTTGAAGCCAGACATAATGGTGCATGACTTGTAATGCCCAGCGCAACAGGATGCAGGAACTGCAAGTGACCAGAAATGAGGTGCAGCACACCAGCTCCAAGAAAACGGGAAAATACTATCCCTCTATTTAGTTTTTTCCCTTTTCCACCAGAGTAGACACTCTTTACAGCAAACTAGAGCCCCAGAGTTAATTCGTATACCACTATTTATTTTTGTATTTTTTATAGATTTTGAGAACTAAAAAAAAGGTTTTTTTCTATCTCTAAATGGTTAAAATAATCAATATAAGAACAAGTAAAGTTATGTATGGGTATTACATGCCTATAATCCTAGAGGCTGAGGCAGGAGGATCACAAGTTCAAACCCAGCCTGGGCAACACAGCAACCTAAAATAAAATTCTGTCTCACAATAAAAAATTAAGTCTCAGTGCAAAAGCTCTGGGTTCAATCTAGTACACACATACACACACAGTGAAAAATGCATGAAATTTAAATTTCAAGTAGCCATTAACCAAGTTTTATTAGAACACAATCAGACTCATCCATTTACACATTGTATTGTTTGCTTTTTTTCCCACAGTGACACGGCGGAGTAGTTCCAACAGAGACCAGATAACCTGACATATTCAGAGAAAGCTTAAAATGTTTACTTTCTGTCCCTTTGCAGAGCCTGACCAAGTTTCAAAGGTCCAACTGATAACACAGGTTCCCAGCAATTTACAGAAGCTTTCCAGGTAACAAAGATTTGCTGGGTAATGAAATGGAAGACTCTCCCCTGTGCTACAGTGTCACTCACCCACTTGCAAAGCAAAGCCCCTGAGAAAGCCCCACAGAGAAGAAGCATTTGCATGTGCAGGAAGCTCGCATGCCAGCATGGATGTGGATCTGATACTCCAAATACATGTCTGTGGGTAGGGAAGAAAACACAGCCCAAAAAATAGCAAGTAGGATGGGAAGATTCACTCCTTTCCAAATACATACCCTCTTTTTCTTAAAATTATTATAAACAGGGCCAGGAGTTTAGCTCAGTGGCCTAAGTGCCTGCCCAGCAAGCATAAGGTTGTGAGTTCAATCCCCGGTACCAAAAAACAAAAACCAAATTATTATAAACAGCCAAGCTAGCCAGAAACACTATATGCTGTTGGATAGGACCAGGGCCTCGAGAGAGCCAGGACAAAGGTGAAACACATCTCAACTATGGCTGAGACACATCTGTTGGACACCAGACCTCAAGATAAAAACAAAATGACCAGACTCGTATACTTCCTCAAAGGACAAACACTAGGCCTAATGAAGCCAAAATAGCCATCAGTCACCCCTGTGGGTGACCAAGACCTCTGGACCTACCATTTCCTAGAAAAAGTCTGTTCTGTCCTTGCCCACTAGCTATGCAACTTGCTTTCCCATTGGTTCAGTATTACCTAAGCAGTTACACTTATAATCTTACGGGTTGAGCAGAGCTCTGACTCACATTATACCCATGTGTATTGCTCTATAAAATTTCCCTGCAAAGTGGGGTTCTTGGGCAACCCATTCGGGCCCCCTCCTATTTCTCTGACAGGAACTGTCTATCTCTTAATAAATATTTACTACTCTTAACAACCTCTGTTTATCCTAGAATTCATTCTTCAACTTTTAGAGCACACAAACTTGGCATACCAGATATCTAACAGGCTGGGAGTTATATTTCCCTCACTTCATATTTGAAAGTTCTGACATTCACTCTGTAACAAAATGGCCATCCTTCAGGAAGTTATGCATTTAAACTGACAACAGGAGCAGTTATCCAGGTGAAGCTAGACAGAGAGGCGGGAGCTCCAGACGCCTCTGGAACTGGGCAGGAGGCACATCTAGGGAGTCAGAGATAAGCCACAGGTCCCGAAGTGATGAGATGAGGATACAGCCTCTGCTATTCCAGCTGTTCCCAGGAATGGGCCACAGACACACAGGTGACTGGCTTTCCAAGAGGAAGGGAGGGGCCACCATGACAACAAAGAAACAGCCCCCAAATCATCTGTCCACATAGTCCCTAGTTCCAAAAGACATAGCTTCTCGGGTTTCCTAGGATGCAGGAGGGTGATATGTATCAGGTTTAATTGACCAGCCAGAAGTGACAGGTTCTTCTTCTCTGAGCTGACATTGAGATGTCAAATGTCAGCCCTGGATGCCTATGTGAGTGTAGAGAAGCTGACATCACAGTTCTAACTCTCTAGCATGACACTGTTCCTCCACCAAGCACATTTCTAGGCAGTCTCCACGAATGAATACAGTATGTGTTAATTCCATGTCTTCATCTTATTTCTAGGATAGAAAATAAGGGCCTCTGTCCACAGACAGAACACTTATCAGAAAGCACCTGCAGACACAGTGCCCTCTGCGTTCCCAGGCCTCCCCCAGGAACCGCTGCGTGGCCCACTGACTTTAATGTCTGATATAAATTACCGGTGATGCTGAAGCCATTCTTGAATCCGTTCTGCTCCACAGCAAACATCCACCCAATGATGCCTCCGATGGGTGCCAGAGGAAGCAGGGAGTAGCCGACGGTCTCGGGGATGGTGCTGATGGCCGTGTAGGAGCGCCCATGGTTCATCACCACGTAGGAGTGGAGGTCAGTGTTCTCAAAGACTACAGGGGTATGGCTGCTGCCCACAAAAATCCTGCCCTTCACCTTGCCATTGACACGCTGCGGGGAGCCTGAGCCAGAAACAAAGAAAGAAAGTGTATGTGCTTTGCAGCCAGCTTCCCGAGCACTACGATGGGTGACAGAAATATACAGTGCATATTTAAATTTAAAAACTTATGGTATAAGACACATGGCCACAATTCCCCCTCAGAATACTCCTTCTCTCTTCCTATACACCTGGAAGAAAACTGTTAACAGTTAAGTCAGGGCAACATGGTGAATGTTCATTTTGTATACCATGCACCTCTGTAATTTTTGAATATATATAACTTGCATATAGATGTACTGTTTAATCAGACAAAAAGCACTAGAAAAATTAAGTCAGCCAGGCACACATAGTGATGCACAGTTGTAATCTCAGCACTTAGGAGGCTGAGGCAAAAGAATCCCAAACTCAAGCCCAGTCTGGACAATTTACCAACTTGGTAAGACTCTGTGTTAAAATAAAAAATAAAGGGTTGGGAATATAATTCATTGAAAAGGTCTGTGTTTAATCCCCAGTACTGCAAAAGTAAAAAAGACAGACAGACAGACAGGAAAGAAAGGGAGTTAAGTTACTTTTACTGTATTCAAATAAAAAAACTGAAAGCTGCCATGTGACTCAGCAATCCCAATTCCTCCAAATATAATCAAGAGAACAGAACACATAGTCCACACAAAAAGCTGTGTGTACTCACAAAAAAGGGAAATAACCCAAATATCCATCAACTGTTGAACAGACAAAACATGTCATTATCCATCCACTGGGATATTATATGGCTAGAGAAAGGAACAAAGCACTGACTCATGACACAACATGGACAAAACTCGAAAACATTGCAGGAAGTGGCACAAGCCAGACACAAAAGTTCACACATGATGTACGATTCCACTGATACAAAATATCCTAATCAGGAAAACCCATGGAACCAGAAAATAATTGGGGTGGTGGGGGCGAGGGCTGGGAGAGATGCGGGAGAAAGCAGAGTGACTGCTCAGGGGTTCATACATTGCTTGCTTCTGTGATGACAGACACGTTCTAGAATTAGAGGGAATTTTTATACAGTTCTGTGACTATATTAAGACTCATCAAATTACATGCGTTTAAAAGGTAAGTGAATTAGATCTCAAATAAGTGAACAAAAATTGAAGGGAAAGGTGAAACAAAGGTCATTCTGGACTGCTCAGGTCTGAAGCAAACTGCTCCGAGTTGCTGAACAGGGTCACAGACCAGCCAGGGCATCTCTGACACAGAATAATTCTGCACACACACTGAGTCATCCCACTGGGGAATCCTTCTGAAGCTTGCAGGCTCACAGCAAAAAAATGCATCCCAGGGACAATTACAAAAACAAGGAAGAAAGCCAAGTTAAGGAAACCAAACATTTTTTTTCTACCAAACTTGAGCTAGAAAAGAATTTTTTAAGTAGCAAGAATCCAACAAATATTTAAACCACAAAGCTATTACAGGACGAGCATATAATGTTAAAATTTGTGGCTGAACAAATTTGCCATCTCTGAGTTTGCTGCCAAACAAACTGCTCAGCATGTTGGGCTCTGATCTTGGGGAGAAAAAGGATAACGAGGTTGCTCCTTAAGAATTAACTTTTGCTGTGGATTTTGGAAACCCTCGAAGGGTGGAGAGGTAAAAAAGCCAAGGCTAAAACAAAGAAGCTAAGCACACCATGAGGTTGGGGGAAGTTCGGAAGAAAACGCTTTAAAGAAGTCTATACTACCCTGCAAAATTAATATGAAGAGTATGCTAGATTTTATTTCATTGTTGAATAGTTTTAAAAATTACTAAATGATAATTAGGGCAAGGAATCTGAGAAATAGAACGTATTTCTCCAACTGGGTTTTATTTAATCAAAATTCATAAGCAAGTTAAATTCCTCATTAGGACCCAGGATCTAGCTTAGTGGCATACACGCTTGCCTGGCAAGTGTGAGGTCATGAGTTCAATCCCTGGTACCAAATGAATAAATAAAGGCAGGGCATGGTGGCACATGCCTATAATCCCAGCGTTTGAGAGGCTGAGGCAGGAGGAAAGCTGCAAGTTCAAGGGCAGCTTAGGCTACAAAGTGAGTTTATGTCCAACCTGAACTGCATAGTAACTCTCTGTCTCCAGACCAAAAAAAAAGTCCTCATTAAGCACACAAGGAAAGTAACTTGTGCCTGGTGAGGCAATCTGGTGGCACTTGAAAGACAAAGGCTCATGGGCATTGTTGTTTCTGATTCTGTTTCTGATTCTGTTGTGTGGCATGAGAGGTCTCACTCAGAATGTCAGCTGTCACCAGGATCTCAGATGTACCATCAGAGAACATTAAAACCCGCTAGTCCTTTGAAGGGCAGAGCTGAATGCTGATCTTAGCACGTCAGGGAATCCACTTAGGAGTGGGCCCACTGTGGGTCGAGCCCTCAGGAATTGCTGAGCACACCTCTGGGCTCCAGCACCACCATGCCGTAATTTCAGGAACACAAGGTCACAGTAATGGGGGTAGAATGATGAGAATAAATCTGACCCACTGCTGGCTATGGTCTAAGCCAGCCTTCTGCTTCACAACCACTAAGATAGACAGGTCTACAACAATGCCACATATAACTAGACAGACTCTAAGGACAAAGACACAAAAGAGGTTTAAAGTAAACTGAGGAGAAGGGTGGGGGACTTGAACAGTCCCTGGTCCAGGCTGCATAATTTCAGCTCAGCTTGGGTAGCTGGGAAGATGGCTCCCAACGGTCATCACCTTATTGATGACAAAATAGTGCTGGAAAGGAAGAGATTCCACACCAAGGTAGAAAAACAGATACTCACCAAGGAACAAGCAATGAGAGAAGGACAAAGAACAGGAGATAAGAGATGAAACTCCACCAACTGTACACTTCAGAGGTCTGGGCAAAGGCTATGCCTCTAAACAAGCACGAACACAAAACCTCCACCCCTCGCCCCACAATGGTAACACCTGGAAGCCGATACCTTCTGCAACGCACTGCCTGCCGTTGCCCGTGTAGCCGGCCACGCAGCTACAGCAGAAGCCAGTCCTGTAGTCTCTGCACTCCGCATGCACTGAGCACTGGTGTCTGTTGCTGGCACACGTCTGCTGGGAATCCGTGGTGTAGCTGAACACTGTCTCGAGAACACAAGGGCACACTGTTACCACTTCACCCCACTCCAGGCCAGGAGGATTCTCCCTGCAGGACTGCCATCTGCCTGGGCCCTGAAGAACCTGGCTCATCACAGCGGGCTACTGCCCACTACAGACAGCTGGTGACACGGTGATACAGCTCTGTTATTCAAACCCCTGGGGCAAACAGGTCTAACAGTGAGAAATGATAAATGTGAGCTATTGAAAACTGCTGCCACCCAGGGTCCTCGGTGTCACTGAAACAACATTAGGTGGCTGCCATTCAACATCAGTCTGACAACAACATCTATCCAATGTGGTCAGAAGAATCAGCTTCACAGGGCTGGGAATTTAGCTCAGCGGTAAAAGTGCCTGCCTTGCAAGAATAAGCTTCACATTTAGGGGGACTTCAAATGTATATTCTTTTTACTATTTCCCATAATTGTGTTAAAATATACATAACACAAAATTTCCTATCTTAACAACCTTAATTTTGGTGTTTTTTTTTTTCTTTTATGTGTGCATGTGTACACCAAGAATCGAATTCACAGCCTCACGCTTGCCATGCAGGCACTGTGCTGCTGAGCTATATTCCTGGCTCCAACCTTAAGTTTTTTGTTTAAATTTTAACCCTTCCCTTCTCCCCAGGGAATAATTCAGAAGCTTTGATATTCAAAAACTGATGAGACTTAATCCTTCAGTTTTATCTGTTCTAAAAGCCTTTGACCCAAGCAAGAATCAAAAGGAATCTCTCCCTGGTTTAAATTTCTACCTCCCAGGCTCACTTCATTAGAATCATAGACCATTAAATTTAATGATTCAGAGCAAATTAATATGGAATGAAGTTCAAAAGCAGAAGAGGGGTGAACCGTTTCGAGGAGGTCAGTGATCTTGCTTGTAACTGACAGTCTGAGTGAAGATAAAAGCCAGGTTAAACCCAAGCAGGTTCCATCAGCCCTTCATTCTCCACGGGGGATTTCCAGTGTGGAGAAGGATGGTGTTTGGAGCTGACAGTGTGTGTTTTGCTGAATCAGAAGCCCCGCTCTCAGCAGGTCCACTATGGCCTACATAGCTGAAGGTGAAACCAGATAACACCAGGAATGTGCTGCTGGCCACAACAGGCTGACCTTTCTATTAAATACAGCAAAATAACTGGGAAATGGGACAGAAAAACAGCTGTCATAGACACATTCTGACTTCAAATCCAAGCATTTTCCAGAATCAAGTAGTACACTGCCATAAGTTGTTGGGGCTAACCACAGTTTCATTTAAATGGGGTGATTTCACAAATAAGGGTTTCAGTGATATCCAGGAAGGGTGGCATGGAAGTAAGATGAGACGCCCAATTTCAACATCTATTCACTCAGCACTGCAGGGAGATGGCTCTGTGCTCTGTGGCAGACAGAGCGCCACCCGCTGAGAGATGTGGGCATTACCTCAGAATTCAGGGCACAGAATGTATGGGGCAGGGAGGGGCTAAGGCAGGGATCCACATCCTCGTCCTCCACCAAATGGCTGCTTCTCCACTTCTGTGTCTCAGAAGGGACAGCACGCATTACCCAGCGAGCACAGGGTCTGGAGAACTCAGTAAGAACAAACATCTCTGACCACTGCTATGAAAAATACCAGAACAAGTAAGAAGAATGAAAATAAGTGACTAGTGTGGAATGGACATAGACTTCTCTGGGAGTCTTGGAATAACTTCTTATTAGAAGCAGTAAGAAGTCATAGAAAACCTGCTTCGGGTTTGGAATGGTGGTGTGCACCTATAATCCTAGCTACTCAGGAGGCTGAAGCAGGAGGATTGAAAGTTCAAGGACAGCTGGGCAACTTAGCAAGACTCTTTCTCAAAATTAAAAAGCAAACATAAAGGACTCAGGATGTAGCTCAGTGATAGAGCACATATCTAGAATGTGTGAGTCCCTGGGCTCAGTCTCCAGGAAGAAGGTGTTTTTTCTCAAAATGTAAGAAAAGCTTGATACATAATGGTAGACTAGATCTTCACAAAATTGTCATTTTCATAGGAAGCCTGTGGTTATTTTGTATTTTTAATCTTCACAAATCAGCTCCAAAGCTGATGGAACCTGGGAGGAAAATTAATCAGTTATTCTAATTCCAAAACCAAGAGGAAATAAATGTCAAAGATAAGCTGCAGAAGTAGCCAAAAGTACTTCTAAAATGTTTTTTCAGCTGGACGAATACATTTCGTCCACAAATAAGAAAAGTTAGCTTTCAAAATAACTTTAAAGCATATTTTCCTTTAAAACAGACAGCTGCAGGGGGGGGTGGGGGTGGGGGACTATAATCCCAGCATTCCAAAGGCTGAAGCAGGAGAATCACCATGGGTTTGAGGCCAGCCTGGGCTAGATAGCCTGATCTCAAAAAAATAAAAAAAAGAAATAAGACCAGAATACAAGGAATCTTGAAAGAGGGCACACCCCACAGCTCCAGAACCATAGTTCTGAAGCCAAACGATAACTGGGCAGCTACTAAACCATCAGGCCTACACATCTCAGCCGCTGCTGTGAACTCTCAGCCACTGCTTCCCAAAGCTCCCATCCTTGTGACCTACTATGTGATGTACAAGGGCCCCCTACCGCCACCCTAGTAACAATAGTCCTTCCTGGACACCCAAGTGTCCAAGGGCATCCCCAGCCAACTGCAACTTAAACGGTCTTACCAACTCCTGTTTCCTCCACTTCATCCACATCTATGACCTGGGGCTGCTGTTGGGGAAACTTCTCCACCGGCAACTGGAAAGACCTGGACCCCTCAGTAGTCTCATGGCGTGGGGAGAGGGCACGAGGTACATCGTATGTGTCAATGTCTCCCCTTTTTGAAATCTTGAAGGGCAAAGATGGGGTTGCTGCATCCTCCAGGCCAAGATGAGTGGTCATATGGTCATAATCTTCGACTTCTCCTGCAAACTTTGCTCCATTGTCGGGTTGGAGGCTCACCTCCGCCTGAACCACACCTTTGGCAGTGGCTGGACTCCCAATCTCAAACACCCATGCGCCCTCGAGCCCACAGTTGCTGCTCCTAAGGGAAAGAAAGGCTTCTTGAAAACAGGCCTGTAGTCCTCAAGCAGCCCACTCACCACCAGGAGGAGCCCTTGGGACCCGTGTGGATCAGAAACCAGAGCCTGTGATCACCTGTCCACCTGAGCAGGGGCTGGAGGGCAGGAGGGCAGTGGCTGTCTCACCTGACTGCCATGGAGCTCAGACAGTCCAGGGATATTGGGTAAACTGAGTCCAGATAGGCACGCTGAGAGGGTCCCCCTCAGCCATTCCTGAGGACACCTTCAGGACTCAGGTTATGGACCCAACCATATGAGCTTATGGGTTGGAGTCTTTTTATTCTCTCCACTATTTGCTTTCCCTAGCAGAGTGCATGTAACAGAAAATACACAGGTGGGCTTTGATACAACAGCTCCTCAAGCCCTTGGAATTTCCAAAGTGTTTGTATGTTAATAAGCTGAGTGGGATTTGGGGGCTTCATAGGTTCAGATTAGGTGGCTGCCGGCCAGAGCGACCTGGCCAGGACTGGATATTGGCAGGTTCGGCCTCATCCCCACCTCCAAGGAAGTAAGACTGGAGAATGAATCAATCACCAATGGTCAATGATGTAACCAACTGCATGTACTTAAAGGGAAGGCCATAAAAACCCTAAATGGCACAGCTGGAGACAGAGGGAGGTGGGGGGCAGGAGTTGGAACCCCTTCCCTGCACCTGTTCTGGATTTTTCCTTTTGGCTGTTGCAGAGGTGTCTTCTTTATGATACCCTTTCTAGAATAAGGTGCTTTTAGGGTTTTGAGAGCCTTTCAAGCAAATGGGGTGGGGGCAGTCCTGTGGGGCAGGGCCCCTCCATACTTGTGTAATCTACACTAACTCCTGACAATTACTGCCAGAACTAAAGGGTGAGGTGATAGCAAATAAGCTATAAAATCTAAAGGCATTTTATAATTATATATACACAGCAGAATAATCCTATCACTGTTTGCTCACTATTTTTAATGCTCTGTTTTTGTTTTGTTTGGTGCTGGAGATCAACCCAGAACCTCACATTCAATGGCAAGCACTTTACCATTGAGTTTAATCCCTACCTCTCATTTTTTAATATTCTTATGCACCAGTGAATAGAAGGTAAGTAAATGAAAATTATATAAAATGGCAAGATTACACAATGAAGTTTGAAGAATGTTCTAAACCTGTTGTTAAATACAAAAATTATGGGGCTGGGGATTTAGCTCAGCGGCATAAGCACCTGCCTTGCAAGCAGGCGGTCGTGAGTTCGATCCCTGGTACTGATAAAAATGAAAGACAAAAAAAAAAAATGGCCAAAAAAATACAAAAATTATTAAAAAGTTAAATTGTTTGAAAAGTTATATATATACTTTTTTTGGTTTCTTAAGACAAGGTCTTCCTGTGTAATTCAGAATGGCCTTGAGCTCACTATGTAACCCAGGCCATGAAGCTCCTCCTGCCTCATCCTTCCAAATGCTGGAATTACAGGTGTGCACCACCATTCTCATCTAAATTATATATTTTAAAAGGCAAAAGTACTCAAAAATTTATCTTCTGCTAATAATTTTAGTAGTATTTGTGTTCTTGAAGTTCTTCAAGTGTACTGTAAATTTACAGTAAGGAGAAAAAATATAATAGTGCATTTTTTCACAACTCCCATAGTGACTGACGTGACATTAGTAACCTGAACTTGATCAGGGGAAGAATGTTTATACCACAAAAATAAGCCAAGTCCTATGAATCAGGGCTCCAGCCATCATAAAACCAGATGTTAAGGATTTACCAGCATACCACTAAGTAAGGGCAGAGACATTTTAGGCTAGATTTAGACAATCTGAACCTGGAGGGAGGGGCCTCTCTTTATTTCTTAAAGACCAATGAGAAAGAAAGGGCTTTATTTAAAAAAAAAAAAAAAGAAAGAAAGAAAGAAAGAAATTGGTTTGAGCTGTCTCTCCTTTGCCAAATCTACAACACGCCCAAGAGCACTGTTACATTGGGCGACGCTCAATCTTTTAAGACTCCCCCTCTGTCAGCGTGAAAAGAAAGTGATTTATTTTCCTAGTCTCTGGTTCTGGCAAGGACATGATCTTGAATGATCTTTATTTGCATCTTCGTATTTGCAGAGGTCATGGTAAAAACCATTTTAGATTAGGATGACACCTAAAAACAGGATTCGTGTTCATTCGTTCCCTTACATTCATCAGAGATAGTATTTCATATTATGAAAGTTAGGAGTGTAGCTCAGTGGTAGAGCTCTTGCCTAGCAAGTACGAGAGCCTGGGTCCCATGCTCAGCACCACAAAACAAACAAACAAACAAACAAAAAGCCCCGAGGCAGAGGATAATGATTGTAAAGCTAGACTGGACTCTATAATGAGTTTGAGGCCAGCCTGAACTACATAGTGAGACCCCATCTCAAAAAAACAAAAAAACAAACAAACCTTAACTAGATACAAAATTTAAATCCATAAGATCATTGTTAGGGAATGATCTATAATACCTATTACATTTTCCTTGGTAAAATAATAATAATAATAATATTGGAGAATCTACTGAGGCATACCTGGTCAAGTTTTCAATCGACTTGCTATCATTAGCAAATATATTATACACTCCGTCACTCTTCCAAAAGAATCCCACTAAACCTTGGCTGAAAGCAACCATAGCAGGCACTTGGCTCTCCTCCTTCTTGTAGAAAGTCTTATAGAACTGCAGACCATCTTTGGGGTACAGAAAAATGGCGTAGGTGCTGGCATTGGAGGAGGCCAGAACAGCCTGGAACGTGTTTCTCTGTGGAGATGAATGAAAATCCAGTTACCCAGCAACACACGCATGGATCTCAAAATGTGCTATTCACCAGGCTACATATAAGAAGTCCTGTTGATGGCTGCAGCTTCATCTTATCCTGTAGGATCACACATTCCAGTACAGCCTTTCTAGACTGTCTCTAAGACCATCTCTAAGACATGTCAACATGTGGTCTCCTGATCATTTAATGAATATACAAGATATGAAGAAAAAGCTGGATGTTTAATTTTTTAAAATTATTACAGTAGGACGCATTGCCAATAATCTCCCTCAACATACACCCCCCCACACATACACACAATACTTCAAACACTGCTGTCCCATCATTCCTCTGCTTTCCGCAGTTCTGAAAGTCCTCTTTTGTGAATCTCTTTAGTTGTGCTATTGTGTCTGCCTTGACGTCCTGAACCAATTCAAAAACGCTTACTTTTCTTGGGCCTGAGATTTAGCTCAGCAGCATGAGTGCCTGCCTGGCAAGTACAAGGTCGTGAGTTCAATCCCTGGTCCCCTCACCAAAAATGTTTACTTTCCTTGGTCACTCTGGAGAAGAGCCAGAAGTGACATGGTGCCATTATGAGCCTGCCTTTCAGCTGTGTTGGATGGCACCTGGCAGCAGCACTCACTCAATTTTTGGTCGCATCAAAAGACACTATGAAAGTAGACTTCCAGAACTGCTTCAGAAAATGGCAAGAACAATGGGATAAGCATCTTTAAGGAGGAATACTGGGGAGAGGCGCTCTTAATAGCAGGGCAGCTTTTACTGTGATTGTTTCTTTCTTTAGAAACACCATTCTTTTCAATCACACTGGTAATCACTTCTCTATTAGAAGCTAGCTTTCTGACCGCTGCCACTTCAAGGAAGAACACCCAGGGGTTGCTGCTTACTGGTCCTATTTTTACCATGTAGGCATCTTCTCAGGACCTGGCTTCTCAGGACATCCAATCATCACTGAAATATAGATTTATATACCCTTGCAGAAGTTTCTGGACGTTTCATACCTGCAATGACCAGCCTACTCTTTTTTGCTTTAGATCTCCCTTTCTGACCAATAACAGAGGGACTGGGCTTACACTAGGAGAGTAGAGTGTAAAGTTAGTGTGTCACACCATTTGCACTTGTGCCCGGGTAGTGCTTACCTGGCCTTCCTGGGCAGCGTTCCTGCTGGACCCTTGGTAGGGGGCCACAGATTCCCAGGTCACCACCACCACACTGCTAGGCTGGAAAGAGACCTCTGGGAAGCCTCTCTGGACGTACTCTGCCGCCAGCTGAGTGATGGAGGGGGACAGGTCTTCTCGATAATACACCTTCCCAAGGCCGTCAGTTGTGTCTAAGTCTGCTAGGAAAGGTGCCACCGCGCTGAAGGTGGGTGGAAAGAGTCCAGGATGGGATTCTTTGGCAGGCGGTTCGCTCATGGCAATGATGCCATTTGTGGTGACCTGTACAAAACCAAGTGTGGTTAAAAGGAGTGCAGAAAACACTTTGTTTTTCGTAGGTGAGCTGTCACAGGGACCCACACCATTAGTCACAACCCTGCCACGTCAGGTACAGAAGCTTAGTCAAGTGACTCAGACTGTAGGTCTCAAGTTTCCTCCTGCCTCATGTGAAATGCTTTGTGGCCAACCATGACCCAAATGTACAATATCATTCAAACCTTACTGATTCACCCACAGATGGAGAAAACATGAGCACAGGACTCTGCTAAGTGTGTGGGGACATCCACGAGTAGGACTGGGCCCTGCCTTCAAGAGACTGGTGATCTAGAAGCTGAAGGGTGAGACACACAGAGTACACAATAACATGTCCAGACATAAATCCACATGAGACAATTATTGTGACTGACTTAGATTGGCGGCTAACCTGTAGTAACCGTTTACAATGTTCCAGGCACCTAAGTGACACCCAATCTTCTGACGAACTCCAGAAGGCCAGGTGTTACTAAAATCCATACGGTGCTGGCAGGGAAACTTAGGTGAATTTATCAATTTGTCCAAAATTACCAAGTGAGCTGAGCATGGGGTGCACAGCTATAATTCCAGCACTGAGGAAGCTGAAGCAGGAGCATTGTCACCAGTTTGAGGCCAGCCTAGGCTACATAGTGAGTTCAAAGCCATCTATAACTACATAGCAAGAACCTGTCTCAAAAAAACTGGGGAAAAAACCCACAAACAAACCCAGGAAGTCACCAAGTAATTAGTGGATTCAAACACCAAGAACCCAACTCACAAGTTGGTCATCTATATTTAGCGCATGTACAGATTTCTTGAGATCATTTCTACCTTCCAACGGGACATCACCAATTTTCTTTTCAGCTAAAACCCACACTACTTGAAAAAACAGGGACAGGCCACTGAGGTACCATGGCAACCAGCCTTGTGGTAGTGCACTATAGAAGACCAAGTGGATGGCTCTCCTTGAAAGCAAAACTGTTACCTCTGCATTATTTAAACTGGGCCCTTTCTCCATGTACTGATATGTGTAGAGCTGGCTATGTTTCTTTATCCCTTCAAATGGCTGTAAGCAATGCAAATAAGGCTAGCTAAAGTCCTGATATGTAATCTTTAAGGCCAACCTTGACAATTTCTTGTTTCCTCACATTGTGTTCCCTGTTAGGGTTAAAAGCAGCAGGATGGCAGAGCCAAAAAGTTCCATGCAAGGTAGCATGAGGTCATGAGTTTGATCCCTGATACCAAAAAAACTAAGTCTATTAACTTCCCAGGATACAAAACTTTACATATCAGAAACTAAAACAACAGCCTCCTAAATTCATTCCTTTGCTACCCTAATTGAGTTATGCACATCGATCTCCCTACATCTCTTTCTCACTGCCTATTGCATAGGTGCTTCCTCTCCCATGACTAGATCAGCTTACCTTGCTTCCACCATCGTTACTATCACTCAACCTTGAACCACTCCCATTTCACAAGATGTTAAGGTCTGGAAGAGGCCTTAGATCAGGGCCTTTGTCCATATATCCTCACTTGGATAGGATTCAGGACCCCTTGGCTGCCCATAACTTTGAATATCTTAGTGTCTTTACTCTTGCTGTGGGTTGCACTAGAGGTGATAGATTAAAATTAATTTGCTGGGATTCCAATAGCATTTCAATGGGATTACAAATGCAACTTCCCAGATTGTGAGGACTAAAAATAAGATTACAATATTTATTTGGATTACAACAGTGTTGGTCACCTGGTCCTACTACTCACGCCACACCAATGAGGTTAAATAACTCCTATTTCTTTTTAAGATACAGTCCACCAATGACATGAAATCCCATATCAGCTCCCGAACAGTGCCTTTTTTTTTTTTGAAACAGTTTCTCATTATGCAATTCAGGCTGGCCTTGAGCTTACTTTGTAGCCCAGGCTGGTCTCAATTTGCAATGGTCCTCCTGCCTCGATCTCCCTAATGCTGGGAATACAGGTATTCCCCACCACACCCGGCTTCCAGACCTTTTTTTAACGCTAGCCTGAACTAAATAGCAAGAACCTATGGTGGAGGGTGGACAGCAACAAAAAGAATCTAAATTTGACAGGGTACAATGCCACATGCTGGTAACCCCAGTTGCTTGAGGCAATTACTTGAAGATCATAAATTCTGACCCAGTTTAGGTAACATTAGACCCTATCTCAAAACAACAACAACAAAAATTCTGCAATTTTTACTTAAATTTTCTAATCATATGGGAGGGATTTTCCAAACAGCCCTTTATTGTGCTCTTTTAAAAGGCTATAAATTGGAAACACACAAATCTTATAGAGCTACTCCGCCGCTCAGGAGCCTGTCCTCCCCCACCCCCATCTCACTTTATAGTTCTGGGACAAAAAAGAGAGGAACTAGAGGATTAAAACACAAACGTTCCGGGTTAGGGATTTAGCTCAGCAGCATAAACGCCCACCTGGCAAGTACAAGGTCATGATTTTGATCCCGGGTACCAATAAACAGAAAGTTCAGAAACTGGTGGTGAAGTTCAGAAAGGTAGAACCCATTTGGCCTCATGGGAAAGGAATCAGAGGTGTTGCAGTTAACTCTAGATTTACCAAAACCTTCTTTTTCTGAGACAGGGTCTCACCATGTAGTTCAGGCAGGCCTTGAACTCACTATGTAGCCCAAGTTGGCCTCAAACTTGTGGCACTCCTCCTGCCTCAGTCTCCCAGAGTGCTGGGGTTACAGGACCAAATCTTGTCTTTTTGCAAACTTCATGGGCTGTTAACTCCTCCCATAACATATTTTCCAGCATCAGCTGGCCAGTGAGACTTATCTAAAATCCACAGGCAGGGACAGCAAGGAAAGGAGTCCAGCAAGGCGCAGCGTCCAGCACAGACAGCCAGCTGCGGGGGAGCATGGGATCCGGCTCTGGCTCCAGCTGCCAGAAGCTGCCAGAAGCCAGCTGCTGTGGGAAGTGATCACACAGCGGCGGCCAGGTACAGACAACTCAGATTCAAAACGCTGCTTCTCAATGAATGTAAAATCAGTTCAACAATTTTGAAAACACTGCCAGTATCTTTTATGAACTGGAATCTGGGCACAGAAATGTTTCCATTGTCACCGGAATCGCCTGACTTGACAACTGGGTCTTATGCAAGCATCATGAAAACAGTGCGAATGATGTGGGTGGATAAAGGTCATGTAACCCTCATTAGTATTATTATTAGAAAATTATTTTTCAGCCAATTAACTGTGGCTTCAACTCAGTTGTCTGTGAAACTGATGAAAGATGACTTCACAGAGAAATGTAATATGCAGAAGGACCAGGAGTTTGGTTGGAATTTTTTCCTTTACTGGGGAGTGAACACTATGGTGTTGTCTCATCATTTTATTCACCAAATCTGGCACCGTGTGACTTGCAGCTCTTCCCCAAAGTCCCCAAAGTCAGAATGACTGTGAAAGGTAAATAAGCTTTAAATTTGTTTAGGACATCGAGGCAGCCAGGACAGGGCAACTTGTAGAACTGCTTCACAACATTACAAGGATGATGGGATAACTTATGGAGGGGAGTTATTAATTATAATGCATCTTTTGTTCTAACACATTTTTTAAAACTTAAGCATACATCGTATTTTCCATCATAGTTCATATGGCGCAGTAAGGGTGAACACAGGAGACCTGTGCACCACGACTGTTTTGGATGTGATGCCTCGGGTTGAGCTCAGGTGGGACCAGCAGGTAGCAGCCAGAACCATATATCTGCAGCTTTTCCGGCTGGAGGGTGATAACCAGGGTACACAGCACACAGTGTGGGGAAAAAGAACCGACTGTCAATCTGATGGGAGATCTCAGTGCAGGAAATACAGAAGGCAGAAGAACATGTTAAATGGCACCACAGGGATGTGATCTGCAAAATCCAGAATAGAGGACATCTAAAGGACAACTACCGTGGCACAGCACCTGCCTGGCAAGCACAAGGTCCTGAGTTCAATTCCTGGTACAAAAAAAAAGAAAGAAAGAAAGAAAGGGCAACTACCAAGAGTCTTTAATAATTAAATCACAAGGGGTAAAATACAGTGTGGGGAATCTATAGATTTAAAAAGTCCTAGTTGGGCACACACCTGTTATCCCAGCACTCAGGAGGTTGAGGCACAATTGGTGTGAGTTTGAGACCAGCCTAGGTTACAAAGTGAGTTCAAGGCCAGCCCAAACTACATAGCAAGACCCTGTCTCAAAAAGAAAAAAAAATTAAAAGTCCCAAATAAAAGGCTGGGGATGTATGTAGCTCACTGGAGGAGTATTTCCTAGGGTTATATCCCCAGTACCCCACACAAAGTCTTAAAAAGAGATACACCCGCCAAACGCAATTTGTGTGCTCTGCTTGGACCCTAACTTCAATCAACTGAAAAGCAAAATAACTTTTACAAAATTATTCGAGCATTATATTGAGGAATTATTGCTTTTAGATGAGACCATCATTTTGCTATTTTTTTTAAAAAGTGTTTTTGAAATACATTGTGCAAGATCCACAATATTTGAGATTTGCTTTAAAGTAATAGTTTGCTGGACGAGATGCCACAGTTCTGTAATCCTAGCACTCATTTGGGAGGCTGAAGTAGGATTGCCTCAGAGTTCAAGGCCAGTCTTAGCTACATAGTGAGTTCAAGGTCAGCCTGACTTCCCAGTGAGACGGTCTCAAAAAAAAAAAAAAAAGAAGAAGAAGTTTGGACAGGGGGAGGGATGGTATGAAAAGGTGCTATACATTAAACAAGATCAGGGTCACAAATTGATACTTGGTGCAGCCAGGTAAAGGGTACACGTAATTTATTATTCTATTTTGGGATATAGTTGAAATTTTTTCATAATAAAAGTTTGACTTTTTAAAAATGGACAGCGAATGAACATGATTATCTAACGCATAGCAAAGAAGGGCAGGGGCTTTAATAGATCAGCCAACACCCAGGCGTTCTCAGGAGTGGGTCTGTGGTTTACTGTCTTCGATTTTGTT